TGCGTAGGGTTTATCATTGGAAGGAGAAGGCGTCTGATGTCGGGCTTTTGCACACGGAACTTCGTAATTGTAAGGCCATCCTGGCCGTTGGATTGGAGTCCAGAGTGCAATTGGGCCGATATTCTCTCTCCTCCTCTCTCCCTCTCTCCAGATGCGACAGTTGCTTCTCCTTCGATGCATGCATGCATGGATGCATTTCAAGGGACAACATGGTTAATAATACAATGAAGAATGCCCGATCAAACCTTATTATTGTCTACAACAAAGAAAGGAAGGGCAAGCCAAACGAAACCAACTCGAACCGACGAGCACAACAGCTAGGACCAGGGCCACTCGGCGTCTCTCCACACACACCACCGGGCCATGCCCCCTCCCCCCTCCGCCGCCGCGCTGTCTGAACGGCGGTCGTCGTCTCGCGGCCCCCCTCCCCCCTTGGTGAGAGGGCAGCGCAGCTCCCGATCGCGCGACAGGGCGTCCTCTCTGTACGCTGGATTCGAATACCTCGGATGCTGGATGAATGATACGTTCTTCCACCAGAGCTTCACAGCCTGCAAATATTTTCGGGACAAATGCTGGATTGAGAGGAGACAACGTCTCGAGTTCACTCGGGCAAGATTTGAAACATCAAGTCGCCGCCGCTCACCTGCCAGTAGATCCACAGGGCCACCTTCTGAGGCATCAGCCAGAAGAAGAGCGCAGGGCTGGGTCGAGATGAAGAAACTTCCTTGGCACTTAAGGTCGCGGTGAAATAGCTGCCCATCTCCGGGTGCTGGACTGAGATTCCAACGAAGAGTTTGTCGCCTGGTTCGCCTGCGTGTATCTTCCAGTTCCCCAGCATATCCTGCGTTGGGGATCCTATCAGTCTGCTTGTTTGGGGAATAAAGGAGCAGGGAAGCCCATCTCCAAGCGTAGAAAGGCGCGCGATCAGATAGCCTGACACGTCCCTTTGAAAGGACCATCCAATTCCAGACTAAACGAGCACATAAATCACCCTTGTAGAAGAAAGAGTGCCGTTCATTAGAAGAAGGGAAAAACACACAGAGAACCCACCAGTTTTCCTTCACACAGAGGAACTGGCTAGCCAGGATCAGCCCAGAGGATAACTATATTTGAAGCCCTGCGCTGCAGCGGCGGGCCAGGACGTGGAACGAGAGATGAGAGTAAATGCGTGGGCGGGCGCTCACCATGAAGGGGCTCACGTGCAAGGGCTTGGCAACCAGGTCAGATCTTGGGTCGAAAACGAATGACGCCCTCTCGCCCCATGGTGTGTTTGTGACCTGGGACAAAGTCAAGCCATCCATCAAGAAAACCAGGGCCTGTCGCCGGGGCAAGGGGGGTAGGTATAAAGAGGACGACTGTTCCCTAACCTCTGCGATGCATTTCCTTAGACAGGGTCTAGTACTTGCCATGGACTCCCCATCATCACCTGCTCCTGCTTCATGCTTACTGTCTGCTCTGGATACGACATCATAACAGTAGTAGATGCTCAGAGGATTCTGTTCGTACCCAACACTCGGTGGAATCGTGAGCAGCAGCCTGTGAATAGCGTGAGGAAACAGACATCAACTAATGCGGTCAAAAGGGCACGATCCAAGAGGACGCCAGCATGTATTAAATTGTAGATTTACCTAACGAGAGAGGTCCAAAGTGCAAAGACCAATTGTAGACACATGTAAAGGAAACATGGGAATGCCGACATCTAACTGAGATAGAGACTGGCAGTCGATCACCTCAACTATTTATGCCTAATTGGCTTCAGTTCAAACAAAAGGAACATAAGGGAATGAATTCTAGCCTAATACACCAATCAATGCTTGGTGTCAGGCTGGTTTGATGCTAGATAATCAAAACCCATCCCTTTCTTGACACCCTGACATCCGTAAAATGGAAATTGAGACCATTCTTGTGGTGTTGTTAGTGACGGGACGTAAATGAACCGTACAAAATAATATGATCATCCAGAGAATTACAAGTACAACTCCAAGACAATACCACCAGAAATTTATGGAAGTTATTGTCTCGCCAGGTTCTGAAATCAATGGCTTGAACTAAAGTATTTGGATTAAAATGAAAGTATAATAGTATATCACTGTTTATTTCTATGTTGGTAAAGGCTAGAGTATATTAGAATGATGAAAGATAACCAAATCCTCTTTATGTGGAAAGCATATCACAAAGGACATGTTGAGTCAATGAAATTTTAGGGCTAAAGTTAACTTGGTCAATTGATAAGACAGCCATTTCTTACCAATGGACATGCCAAGAAAGCACAAGAAAAATGTTCCCACAATCATGCAATTTCAAGCATCATTTGTTCTGAGATACTATAAAAGTTCGTTACGAGAACAAAAGCAGTAGTCAAGTTTCTCAGTAAAGGAAATCGTAAATAATTAGATGTTTAACATAATAGAGTCTTCCTGACGTTTTCTTTCCTCTATAATTACTAAGTAGAATGAGCATGCAAGCTGCTTGAACATGACGCATCAGGAAGCAATTAAAAGATGAGTCACACATTCGGGTTGAACCATACCTAAAATTCTGTAGAATGAAAAATTTAAAATAGACCTTGTGAATTATTCTAATAGAAGTTAAAACGTCAATAGCATTGGTAGTAAATGAATTACAAGTTACGCGTTTATACATCGTTGCACTGTACTCACAAGAAGGTTATGTAGGGCATTCTTTCTCGGTCCAATTCAAAAGACATGTTATGTGCTTAGATACTACGGAGATGAGGGTGATTCACAACACACTTTTCTGAGAGAAATTTCTTGCCAATTAAGCACACTAATGAAAACAGAAGCATAGTTTCTTTGCAATGCACAATGGTAAAACTACAATCCCACAGATGATGAATTCAAATCATAACTAAAAACAGACAAGAAGTATGAATAACAAGAAAGTGCATGCATACGCTTTTACTGGTAGATTCAATCGCTAAATTCTTGATGATAAGAAAGACAAAAATTCTACCAAGAATAAGGCTGAAGATTACTTAAGTTTCACACACATGAGTAACCCGACTTACATGAGGGGAGATCTAAAGAATCAGGTCACTGTAGTGATGACAAGCTATAAGGTAAAACAACATCCGTAGGAATTCACTGAGTCCCTCCTCTAGATGAAATAGGCATTCAACTGTAAATGAGATTTGAGTTTTAAGCTCACAATAAGGCCAATGTCTTTTAGAGGTCACGATAGTTTCATTAGAAAATTGGAGAACCGACCTGTACTAAGTGTCATTGTGGTGCCACTATATGGGAGATCTAGGCGATTACCCTAAGCACCAAAGAAACGAGACTCAAATGCAAGATTGTAGGTCATCAGCCATGAGGGATTGATGCCTTCATCTTAATCGACATTTCATGTGCTCAGATTGCCACACTTAACGTTCAAACCGAAAGCAGACATTTGCTCAGATTGTGTATAGCATTGAGTTCCATGCACTTGTGTGTGAATGACGCGTCTTATGTTACTTTGATGTAAGTTGACCTGCTGAAGCGAAGGGCATCTATGAGAAAAGATCAAGGCTGAGAAACCATTTAGCATAGCATGATGGTTTTTCCTCAATTCCCAATAGTTATCCCGACTCTCCAAGTCGGAAGTGTAAACTGAGCAGTGTATTCCTGTCATATCTTCTAAGATATGCCCCCCTGATCACGCAGGATCAAATCAGCGAGCTGGGAGCCTTTCGTGATGGAGGCATCTTGTGACGCAGCGATGGTGGAAAAGGAGATTCAGGGAAGTTTGCCCCAAAGAAATTTCAACAACGTTCTGCGGTGCAAAGGGCTGGAAATACTGATGAGAGAATCACCATCATAAAGAAGAAAAACCTTAGAAGGCTAGTCAAGAGACCAAGGCTGGAGCTCACCAACACACAACACACACACACACACACACACACACACTCATCCCAAGAGGTCGGTCCAAATCGGCAGAGCGCCCTGTCTCTTGCTATCCTCATGGAAGGGGGAAAAGATGACCTATAAATGTAAAACAGAGAGAACCTCGGGTGCGGCTTCCAAAGTTCAGAATGATTAACGAGAGGAATGATTTCCAAAGGTGTGTGACCTACGCCTGATGGCCGTAGGGAGGCTCCTCCCCGGCCACAGGATTCACGGAGCATGGGAGACAGCTCCATGTGGAAACTGTGGGTTGTGTAGATTCTGCAGGTTCCCCGAGTCGTGAGCAGCCATCATTGTTTGATGGGGAACGAGGATCGTCAAGGCCTCATCAGCTCCTATCCAATTTGTAACCCCAAAAAAATGTGGACTTAAAAATGAGGGAGAGAATGCCCCGATCACAGGTAATCATTCGCACTGAAGAAGAGGAAGAGGAGAGAGCGCGGGAAGTGCTCGAGGATCTTACACAGGGCCGTTGGTGTCGGTGACAGCGCGAGCATTATCGGCGGAGAGGTGGCCGGCGAAGAAGGAAGGCGGGAAGAGGGAAGAGGGGAGAGGAGAGGCAGTAGATGAGCATGGGCGTTCTAGGTTGACGAGGGCGTAGCGGACGGGGTACTCGAAGGCGTGGTGATGGGGACTTCGTCGGACGTGCTTCACGTGGCCCTGGTACAACCGGAGCAGCGGCGCATCATCCCCTTTAGCGGCTTCGAAGTCACCCCCGGGAGGGCGGCAAAGGCAGGACGCAAGGCAGCGTAGCACCAGGCGAAGCGAGAGGACGGCGGAGGTGAGCGTAGAGGACACGAGGGAGCCGATCAGATACACCACTTCCATCCCCACCACCCACTCCGGCGCCGCCCGGTCACCGGGGGGAGGAAGAATACAGGAGGAGATCCTGTTCAGGACGGCCACAGTCTGGGACCGTCCAAATGAACAATTGGAGCTAACCCCAGATTTTCGAGATCACCCAATCCAAATACCCTACGGTTTGTTTCGTTGGTGCCAGCCCAGTTACGCCCATCCTTACCCCGTCTCTTCCTCTCCTCTCGGGTGTGCCGCCCCCTCTGTGTCGCCGCTGCCTGATGGCGGGCCGGGTTTGGGCTCCGTAGGATGGACTTTAAACTCCGCAGGTCCGGGGCCCGAGTCCAGCAGCCTCACAGGACGCCCGGCAAGGCTTGGCCCAGCGCCGCGAGCCGGACGTGCCCAGCCCATCCTGGATGATTCTTCGTTTTCGAACCTCTAAACTGCCCTTTCTTACGCCGCGGCCCCTCCGAGAAGAACCCCTCTTCCACCGCTCGGGGGCTCCTTCCCCAAGCCCCCTCGTCGTTCGCTCCCGAGTACCTCCCCCGCCAGCTGCCCACACTCCAACGCCGAGGGCCGCGCAGACCAACGCTCGCCCTCTCTGGATTCCTCTGGGGAAAGCTTCGCGGCTATTGAGGACTTGCTTCGCGCTCCGATGCCCATGCCCTCCCCTGATCTCGTCTAATTGATGACTCACCCTAAGCGGCCACTGCGCGCTACATCCACCACCTCTTCCTCCGCCGTCAGGAACAGCGCAAGCGCCAATCACAGTGGGGGACCGTTCGTTCCTCCTTCCCACCGCTCGCCTTGCTCTCCTGTCATGAAGAAGGCCAAGTCCCAGCAGGCCCCAGGCGCGGCATGCTCCCTCGACAAGAATGGGCTCCATCAGCCGCAGCATCAACAGGCCCCAGGCGATGAAGGTGGCCTTGCGGACGAGGACGCTATGCTCGTCGAGCATGACGGCCTCAAGGCCGCCGCCGCTGATCCCATCCCGTCGACTGCGCTTACCACGGGGGCTGCTGCCAATCTTACCAGGAAGAAGGCTATTCCTCCGCAGCCCGCTGCCAAGAAGCAACTGGTGATTAAACTCGTCAAAGGTGCTCTTGTTCTCTGCATCTATGTTGTCTTCGGTCCAATCCATTCCCCCCTAGCATTTCCTAACTTTCGATTCATTTAGCCGCCCATATTTCCTGTTCACGTTTCCATCGTGTATGCTCTGGACTCTGATTTTTCTGCCACCGTTGTGGGCGAAATGAATGGGTGCTATTCTTTGGCACTTGGACCAAGAAGGCAGGCTCCTGAAGAGACATTTTCAAGCGTTATGCTGATCCCAGATGTGTTCCTAGTTTTTTTCCGACAGCGCAGAGGACTCCATGATAGCTAGCGCTAATCACGGCTGGTGTGCATAGGCAAAGTGACGCTGTGATCTGAGGATAATTACTCACTTTCCCTTTTCTTTTTGGCCGTCATCTCCGACACACATGGTGACCCAAGTGGGGAAATAAAACTTATCTATGGTTTCACCACTGTACAGTAACGCTTATACCAATTCCTGGGTCACGTATGCTATCCTCACTTATGCTATGCCATTGTTCTAGTCGTAGAAGATGAAATTCCACATGGTGTAGAAGATGCAAGTATTTATGAATGAATATAAAGGGGAAGAAGGAAAATAGCAGGTCATTCTAAGAGATGTATATAGCTGGAAGGAGAAATAAATCAGTGATTCATCATATTGGTCTTTTGATAGGTGGTTGGCAACTGGAAGAACATTGTTCTGTTAATTGATTTGTAAAGGTAAAAGTAGGGGATGAGAGATAACTTAGATATGATTCAAATTAGCAAAATGATCGGCCAAGAAATGAAGATTTTATATATCAATCAGATGATTCATTATATTGTAGGTCAGATGACATTTTAGCGAGCTAGCCTTGTACTCGTTTTGCATAACATTTTTCCAGTCGTTGAGTTTGACCTATTTGGTACTACTCCAGGTTTATGGCCCATTTAGTCTCTCACCTATTCCTTCAAAGAGTGGATAGATCTAGGCGGTTCAAAGCATCCGTTTAAATCCTTCTCTAAATCTATGCTTGTTGTTTTCCGTTCTAGATAGTCTATTAAGAATGACACTCTATGAAAAAAATATCGCTACATAAGGAGGACATGTTGAATCCCAACATTGTAGCAGCTGAAGAACATTTCCAATCTCTGAAGTCATTGTGGCAGCTTTTGCGATTGTCTAAAACACTTAAAGTCAGCATTCTCAAGCTTCATCTCCCAAATACACGACCTATAGATGCAGGAAAAATTCCAGCTTCTTGGTTGCCAGTTTCAATTTAAGTGGGAACTTCAACATGAATAGATTGAATTTCAATGGGAGATCTTTTATACATTCACTTTTCGTGATCAATGTTATGTATTTTCATAAATATGCCCATGTTTCTTGAAAATAATTCTTTTTTTTTTTCTGAAAGTCATTTTTCTTGGTCAGTTGAGAGCTTATTTGTAACTTTTTATTATGCATTTATATTTATTAATTGATTTTTTTTTCTCCCTCACTAAGGCAAGCCAAAATTACCAACCAATTTTGAAGAGGACACCTGGGCAAAATTGAAGTCAGCTATTACCGGTATATTTTTAAAGCAGCCTGACCCCTGTGATTTAGAAAAGCTCTATCAGGTGAATTCATCCGATATGTCTTGTTGTAGTTACTATTTAATCATGTCTTAACTTATTTAGTAAGTGCAGTGCCAATAAACTCTTCCTGTTGCGTGTAGGCTGTTAGTGATCTTTGTCTTCACAGGATGGGGGGAAATCTTTATCGACGTATTCAGAGAGAATGTGAAGTACACATATCTACAGCACTACAATCATTGGTTGGGCAGAGCCCTGACTTGGTAGTATTCTTGTGTTTGGTAGAGAAATGTTGGCAGGACTTCTGTGATCAGATGCTAATGATTCGTGGTATAGCATTGTATCTCGATAGAACGTATGTCAAGCAAACTCCAAATGTTCGGTCTTTATGGGACATGGGCTTGCAGCTTTTTCGCAAACATCTTTCATTCTTCACGGAAGTAGAGCATAAAACCGTCACTGGGCTTCTAAGATTAATTGAGCGGGAGAGGTATGTATCCCTAACTCTGTTCGTTGTTTTCTGCAATGCTAAACATTGGGGATTTTGAAGTTATACCACTTTCTCATTCTTTGTTCTAGTTGTAGCATACTGATACTGTTCTTCTCTGAGGACCTATAATCTATGTTTACTATGGTACAGTATCGGTTTTTACTCATTATGAGGCTTGCATAAGCTGTGTTCGATAAACAACATTTCTGGTTTGAACTAAGATAAAAATCGTGGGCATAGGTGATAGAAATCGTGGTTCTTTCGGAGGGATTTTTCAAACAATGGAAATCTATCTACATCTCGTTGAAAAGAGACATTGATGGTTGTTCTGGCATAAACGGCTTTTTTTCTGATGTTTGTTTTGGGGGAAGTTCATTAAAGGCACTGCATCTCAAATAACAGTAGGTTGGTGCATTGACCATTTTACACAAGAATAAGGTGACAAAAGCAAGGCGGTGGTCTACTATCTTCTCAATTCGATTGCTTGCGATGATACCTCACAAAGTGTGGTTTGATGGACAATTCCGATAAACATTATGATATTCAAACGCGTATCTTATCCCATTCCAATTTTATGTCAATATTGTTTGATGAACCGTCAAGTACTTCTCCCTATCTTTGGCATATAGTTGCAGGGATTAGCTTTGTATTGTATCAGATTATTTCTTTTTGTCCAAAGTGTTTTTTTTTACATTTCATGGAAATATCTCGGGAACAATTAATTAAACTAGGATTTAGGATACATAGGGCAGCCTACCTATTCTCTATGGGGTCCATATCCTGATGGTTCTTGTGTCAGGTCTCAGGCCATACTAGCCAGCTGCATAATGGTTGAGGGGCTGTGTCTATAAGAATGGATGTGATATTATAGATAGGACTGGGGTGTGTTGCATGGTTCATTTACTTGGCCGGATCCGGTGAAACTTGGTTTTAGGCCTGGCCCTCAGTTTTTTTAATTTTTTGATTTGTTTGCTGATAACATCCCTAATGTTTGTAAGGCTTGGCTTTTGAAGCTGACTGTGCTAGCTTGTTGAGCTCAAAGATGAAATGTGACGTGTTGCCATTTGATAAACGTGTTTTAGTCTATTTTCAGTCATCTATTTTCTGTGGAATTTACCGATGTTATTTGCTTTGTAAGTATCTTTTCTCACCTAAGACCATCTACTGGGGCGTATAATTTAGATTGAATCCCTCAGTGCTTTCTTTTGTTGAGGATGGTTTTTTAAGATGTTTGTGTAATTTCTGCCAAAACTACACTTGAAGCCAAAGGGCTCAAGGACGTGCTGGATCTTGGGGACACTGGAAAGCTACATAGAAGACTAATACATTGGAGATTTTATTTTAATCTATATTTATCAGGAACCGGAGTAAACATCAAAATTTTACAACCATTGTTTGATTTCCTCATTTACATTTTTTGTGATTAGATACACCAAGTTTGGTTCCATTCCACCTTCTTCGTACCAATTGTTATTTAAAATATTTCCAATCTACTGTTCTTTATTCCGCTTTCATCTTTCATGTTCTTGACTTCAGGGATCATTTTATTAAAAAACTTTTAGGGACAACGACGGTAAGATTCGGCATAAAGTATCTTCCCAACAGATAATGAAAGTGTGACATGTTCATGAGTAGATTATCCTCTGCCGCTCCCATATCTATGCGTTGTGAGAAAAATAAGAAGACCTTGCAACAGCAATGAAGGATAATGTAATCTGAAGAATTCAAATATCTCTTAAATAAAATAAAAAATTATAATTTCCTTTCTTTGCAAAAAGTACGCCGCACTATATTCGAATTGAGGTATAAAATGGATGAATATGAAACAGCATGGATTCAGTTGTTCTGTAATAAGGGAACAACAATTTTTTTAACTAGTGATTAGTCTTTTTAAAGATATTTAAGTAATTGACAGGGAAATGTTATATGCCAAATGGTTCTTCACCTATATCACTGGATTCTCCGAGCAGATACAGGTGAAAATGAAAGTAGAAGTGTAATGCTCTTTTTCATGAAAGTCTTATAAATAAAGAGACAGTTCGAGCTGAGATTTTGGATCTCAAAAATCTAAGAGTATATCTACCAAAAGACATTTTCATTTTGTTCTTAATATTAAGAGGGAATTATCCACAACATCAATTGAGGCCTTTACAGTCCAATGTACATCAAACGCTTTCTATATGACGAATACACTGATTAGTATTCTTGAAAGCATAATGGCTTTGTTGAGAGAGACTGGTGTGTAAATTATCATCTTGATGATGTCTTGTACAATTCTGGACTCTGTATAATCTTTTAAATATTGAATTATCTTTTTATCTTCTAATTTTGTATTTCTTTTCTCTCATTCATGATTCTTGCTATATTCTAAAGTTAATTCAAAGTTACCTAGAGACTTAAATCAGATTAAAAATAGCCTGATTATAACTGTAACACCAGGGAGAGACGTTTCAACAGTTGGTTTAGTAAAACTGATTTCCTTTTTTAATGTATTTATGAATGCTGGGTATTTTGCTTTAAATCTTAGCGGATTGGTTGTAATTTATTCTCTTACTTTGTAATCATTGCTTCACAGTCTATGTGCTCATTTGGTTTCGATATGTATATCAGATCAGGTGAAGCGGTTGATAGAACGCTTCTCAATCATCTATTGAAGATGTTTACTGCCATAGGAATCTACACAGAGAGATTTGAAAAACCATTTCTTGAATGCACTTCTGAATTTTATGCCTCTGAAGGTGTGAAATACATGCAGGAATCGGATGTTCCTGATTACTTGAAACATGTGGAGGTGCGTTCTTCAGAGTTGATTTATCATGTTTCTCATGATTTCAGTGCTTACGTCATGTTTCATTCTCATCTCTTTACTTTTTTATTCATTTGATAGAATATTTGTAACTTTTTTCACATAAATCATACATCATAAGCTTAAGTTTTGATTCGAAAGAAACATTGTAATGTATGTAAACAGTTGAGGCTACATGAAGAGCATGAAAGATGCTTGCTCTACCTAGATGGAAGTACGGGAAAGCCTCTGGTGGCAACTGCTGAAAGGCAACTTCTTTCTTGCCATGTATCTGCAATTCTTGATAAGGTGAACAGCCCTACGTTGCCTTATTTACACTTTCCCTCTTGAAACATTTCTTTTAATTATGATAATACTTTTCTGTTGTCTAGGGATTCACAGTGCTGATGAATGGAAGTCGCATTGATGATCTCCGACGAATGTATAACTTGTTTTCGAGGGTTAATGCCTTGGAATTATTAAGACAAGCCCTCAGCTCTTACATCCGGGGAACTGGACAGGGAATTGTTATGGATGAAGAAAAAGATAAGGACTTAGTTTCCTGTCTCCTAGACTTTAAGGCTACTGTTGATACTATTTGGGAGGAAGGTTTTTTCAGAAATGAATCATTTTCCAACACAATAAAGGATGCATTTGAGCATCTCATCAATCTCCGTCAGGTGGGCCATATTTCTTTCCTTCTATTTTTAATCTTTTTATTCTATTTGCTTACCCAACTTCTGTTGGAATGGGTTTCTACTCTATTTGAGTTAAAAAATTTGATATTCAAGAAACATTTGAGGTATTTGGGCAAAATAGCTACTCAAAGTCCTAATTGAGAATTCTAATCGCGCCTTTTGATTCTGAAGTAATTTTTGGAGGTGAAATTTGGTCCAGCTACATTTTCGTTTCCATTGTTTGCAAAGACCTGTAAACAAAGGTCATTCCAGATTTTTTAATGTGCAATTTTACCGTAGAAAATCCATCCATTGTTCTTTCGTAGATTTTTTTCGTTCATGTTTTCGTTTACATGTATGATAATAACAGTTTTCAACTTTTAATCATGTTGATCCTAATCTTTGATCTATCCTACTATATTTCATTGTCTAATCGAATTAAGCTCAACTTTTGCTAAAGTCAAATATATATTTAGTAATCACTATCTACATTTTGAATCGTAAATATATCATATTTGTGAATCTTGTAGCACCACTGTCATGTGGATCTGCCAGCTCAACGTATGGATCTGATCAGATGGCCAATTCAGCTTTCCCTAGGGATGTGACTATTTTTGGCGTATACTTAGAAATGATTCTAATAAAATGGCTATTGAGTAATTATTCCCCCCACACTTTTCCATTTTGTTTTGCTAGTACCGCTCTTTCTTCTGTTCTTCTTTCATTGTTAGCTGCAAATGGGGCCCTTTAGTTCTTTTTTTCTAATCATGATATTGATGGTACAAGGAACTCTGTGAGAGGCATAGCACAAAATTGGCCGTAGTGAGATTAGTCAATTTCCAGATGATTCTGTCCTTTCCTTTTTCGTATCAATCTTTCATGAGGATCCAATACTTGGCTTGAATTGGATTGGGATGCCTTATCCTGATTAGAATTGTCTGAGTCTGGAAATCATGTGTGCTCGACATTAGGTAAGCATGATTGGCTCCTATCTTCGTGTTTTGTAGATTATTTCAGGAGAATTGAAGGAAGTGTTTTTGTGCTGTATCATATAGATCTTCGTTTGGTTCCTGCTGCACCTAATTGTAGGAGTTTTCCAATTCGTTAAAAATCACCCAATGATGGTGCAAGCTATTCCTTGTAAGCTATGACTTTTATAAAGTTTGTGTACATTTTTTACTTCGTTTTGTGATTGTTTATATGTTGGCTCACAGGACAATCCGAATCAGGAGGCATTGATTCCCTCAATATACAGATTCTTTTTTCTCTGGATGCCATCAGCATCTGCATAATTTCCGATCTTTATCGTGTTTGTATTTTTCTGTAGCACAAAGAAAAATCTATTCAGTATTCATGCATATGTTTGATCTCTCGTGAAAAAATATTTACTCTTTCGTCCTGATAATATTAGTTATGCTTATGTTCTTTCAATTTTTGCTTCTGTGTTTCAATCGATTTTTTGTGGCATGAGCCTTCTACACACCAACAATGAGAACGTTGCATGTTCTTGTATAGTTGTTTTAGCTTGTCCTGGGTTGGTTATCTCTATTATCAAACTACATTGTTGATCTACTCGTGCTGTATGCTGCTGTCTTCTGAGTGTTGATTCAACTAATGATTGCATCTCTTGTTCCTTAAATTAGAACCGGCCAGCAGAACTCATTGCTAAGTTTCTCGATGAGAAGCTTCGGGCTGGTAACAAAGGTACATCTGAAGAAGAATTGGAAGGAACTCTTGATAAAGTTCTAGTTTTATTCAGATTCATACAAGTAAGCCACTTTAATGCGCTTTTCGCTGTTTTTCTTTTTCTTTTTATTGAAGCTGTAATGAAATATGAAATAATTTTTTTCCCCATGAAAAGTCAGAGGTATTTACTTTTGTATTGTTTTCTACTTCTTTCTTGCGTTTTCTTTTGCTAAACGTTTCGTCTTTTATGTTATTCAGGGTAAAGATGTGTTTGAGGCATTCTATAAAAAGGATCTTGCTAAACGGTTGTTGTTGGGAAAGAGTGCCTCCATTGATGCTGAGAAGTCAATGATATCCAAAGTAATCTATATTTTCAGAAATTTTTTCACGGTTAGAAAATAAGAAATTTCAGGAAATTCTCATTGCATTAATTTTTTCCCTGTTTCAGCTCAAAGCGGAGTGTGGCAGCCAGTTTACAAATAAATTGGAGGGGATGTTTAAGGTTTGAATGTCTATAATTTCTTCTCCTTTTTTATTGGATTTTTTTAGTTTGGTACGATACCCTTTTTCTATATAATCCTTACGTTCCCTGTTATTTATTACTCATATTACAAGGGTTTAATTCTATTACTCCATACCTTACAAGGGGTTACTGTTAATCATATGAAGCTTTCTCATTCACCGAGGGTATGAGTCCTTCCTCCTTGTCCCAAAAGTTTTTGCCTGATTACTCTAAATCCAGTCAAGATACAGAAAAAAAAGACTAGTAGTATGTTAAATTTGTGTATGGTTAGCTTCAAAATTGATTAGAATCAGAAGTATTGGAAACTGTTGTGATTCTGTTTATCACTCCCCTTGCATTAATTGGGATGGCAGTAGGAACTAACCCACAGAAGAATACAAGGTTTCCCCCTTTTGAGTTAGGAAACCCCCTCCCGTCCGAGCTCAGTGAGATTAGAGTTTTATATGTAGAGAGAGGAATTCGGATGAAATTAGTGAAATAAATTTCAGAAATCCTCTTCTTGTTGACCTCGGGATGCAATGCCATCATTGTGATGAGCTTTGGAAAATTCAAGTCAACCTTGGAATCTCAGAAGTTATTCCAAATGTTTGGTAATGTTTGAAGGAATAATAATTATTTTTGGTAATGTTTTTCTAACATCTACACACTGTTACGTATTTTTTTGTCTTTTGACATATTTATTATTATGAATCTGGTCCTTGTTGATGTTTAGTAAATGCTTATAACTTTCTGTGCAGGACTTGTTGACAAAGGATTTTTGTATTATAAGAGCTTTTTTAGGCCTCTAATTGCCATTGTTTTATGACTTCGACATTTAGTTATTTAGTAAATGCCTATAGGTTTCCTTGTATAGCTCCTTTTTGTGAGTTTTTTCATTCTTTACCCTGAGAACGATAAATATGGATGTTTACTTTTCTAAGATAAAATTGATATAAATTCTATATGACTCCATGGAAAATTTGGCCAAATCATCCTATGAAAAACTCTAATTGATGCATGTTTTCATTGACAAACAGTCTACACTTCAAAGTTAAAATCAAATGGGAACTAGGACATATAATTTGGAGTTTCTTGATCTGTATATCAAAAGCGGGCTGTCACTGTGTTGTAAAATTGTCATTTCCTTGGATGCCTGAGGATCAGTCATTTCAGTTTAGGAGAAAAGTAAAAAATGGAGGGACACGATTTTTTTATGTTGTGCAAGACGATGACCCATGTTCTTCTTGCCTGGAAGGAAGTCGATGAATTGTACCAGAAGTAGGAAACAATGGGGTGATTCTTAGGTAGCTATGATTGTTTCAGTAATGGAAGGTACAGAATTGGCTTCAGAAATTCACCGTAAAACCTATTTTTGTGGAAGGTGGGCCTTTGTACACGATGAACACTTGATCGAATGTAAACGTTGTAAAAAGTAAAGGATTACTATAACTTTAGGGGAATATTCTGGCAAGCAAATTAATCTGACAAAACCTGGAAATCATTCATACAATGTGTAGGCTTCTTCAAGATCGTTTATTTGACCTCTGATGTTTATTCGTATGTCTATTTTAATTTTTTTATTTGCAGAAATATTGAGGTTGCTTGCTTTTATGGGTATTTCCTGACTTTGTACTATTGTCTGCCATCTTATTAAATCTAAGAATTTGGGGTGCAGTATTTCCGCTGTTTTTTGGTCTTAGAAATATCATTCCCTCCATTTTTGGCATCTTTTTTGTGTTCTGGACATTCATCCTGTCATCCTCTGTATATGTTCTTCTAATTTATTTTCATGGGAATCTGTTTCGTTTTGCCTTAAGATATCTTCGTGTTTACCTTGGCACACTCCATTAAGAAAAACAATAGATGGGCGTATTGAACAAAATTGCCTCACATAATCGACTATTCTTTGGATGAAACCTCTCTTCTTGCTTGGGTGGCCTTTCTTATCTGTCTTCTCACTCTGTCCTAGACCCGGCAATAATCGGATGCTGGTGTCACTTGTGTTCTAAATATGTTCTGACTCCTCTCTTTCCAAAGTTTTCCTTAAATTGTCCTCGTCCAGTAAGGATAGTATCTACCTTAGCCCTGTCTCTGGCCCCCAGGCAACCGCAGTCTTTTTAGAAAGCGTCTACTTTTTCTGCATTAGTGCAGCAGAATCAAGAGGTAGTATCCTAATTATCTGTGTGTATGTTTTGGATTTACCATCAAGTTGTTTGATTTTAAAATATTTATTATTATTCTCCGTCCAATTTGAGCTCATATAACGTCTCGCGAATGCTTTTACAGGACATTGAATTGTCAAAAGAAATCAATGATTCTTTTAAACAGTCATCTCAAGCGAGGACGAAGCTTCCTTCTGGTATTGAGATGAGCGTACATGTTTTAACAACTGGGTATGTTTACTTGTTGCCCCTTCCATATTTTCTACAATTGGTCTATGGTTATTATTACTATTCTGGGACGACATTTTCCTCTCTGCTGCATTCACTCTCCATTGAGACGTGTCGGCAGGTACTGGCCCACATATCCACCGATGGACGTTAGGCTTCCTCATGAGCTTAATGTTTACCAGGTATGTCTATGAATACTTTGTTGGCCATTCTTCAGTGTTTCTCCGGCTCCTGTTTTTTGTCTCCTCAACACATACTTGTTGACATGACAGGATATATTCAAGGAATTCTACTTGAGTAAGCACAGTGGCAGACGCCTGATGTGGCAGAACTCCTTGGGCCATTGTGTGCTGAAAGCCCATTTCCCCAGGGGTAAAAAGGAATTGGCAGTCTCACTATTCCAGGTAAAGTTGGGATGATGTGATTGGAATGGCATGGAGGATTGTCGCTATGAAAAAAATCAAGCATCGGTTCCTTGCATGTTGCAGACTGTCGTTTTGATGCTGTTCAACGATGCCCAAAAGCTCACTTTCCAAGACGTCAAGGACTCAACCAGCATAGAGGATAAGGAATTACGCAGGACCCTGCAGTCCCTTGCATGCGGCAAAGTTCGTGTGCTTCAGAAGGTGAATTATTTTCCTCCTAAATATCAGCGTTGGGATCTGCATTTTATTACAGTAGAGTGAATTCTCTTCTTGGGAATGCTTCTCAGAACCCTAAAGGAAGAGAAGTGGAGGATGATGATGAATTTGTGTTCAATGAGGAGTTCAGCGCTCCTCTCTACCGCATAAAGGTAAGCCACCTTTCCACCGAAAGTCATTTTCTTTAATATATTTGCCTCGTTCGCAGTCTAACTGGCTGTGCTGTCAGATCAATGCGATACAGATGAAGGAGACAGTTGAAGAGAATGCGAGCACAACTGAGAGGGTTTTCCAGGACCGACAGTATCAGGTCCTCCTCTTCCATTATGATTGATTCCCATTGATCTCCATGCACCCCATATGATCTGCCTAAACTATCACTATCATCTTCACCCTAATCATCATGATCGCCAGAAGCCCGCTGGAGGAAAGAAGTGATACCACACACGAATGGCCTGCCATCTGTCTTTTGGCATTGGTGTGCATCTATCTTGGGCACTTAAGTGCTGACATGGATTTTTCCTTCAGGTGGACGCGGCCATTGTCCGCATCATGAAGACGAGGAAGATACTCAGCCACACGCTCCTGATAACTGAGCTCTTTCAGCAGGTAGCCTTCATCTCCCTTGCCTCTCATAGGCTCCCCCTTCTTGAGCGCAGTCTCCATAACAGATATACGCGGGTGTGTGCTGTTTCTCTGCTGGTTTGCAGCTGAAGTTCCCAATAAAACCGGGTGACATAAAGAAGAGGATCGAGAGCCTCATCGACAGGGAGTACCTTGAGCGGGACAAGAACAACCCGCAAATATACAACTACCTCGCGTGATACACTGCATAATGTCTCCCGCGTTGACTGTACAGGAGCTGAAAAACTTGTAATCTTTTTTGTCGCCGAGTTGCTGAGAAAACATGGCATCCGGTCATTCCTTTAAGTGGATAGCAGAACGCGGAGGGCTGGGAAAGGGGCCGGGGGTGGTTTGGAGTTTGGTCCATGACTGTCTTCTTCCGTGACGGTGCACTTTCTGATCTGCTGCCTGGGTGGAGGCATCTAGTGAAGTTGCCGGAGGTAAGCTCTTGTTCATTTTCAAGGAATTAACTCGCATGCTTCGATAATTTTAGCAACACTAGTCCGAAGAAGATTCGTGCGGAGTCTGAGTCAATAAAGTGGGAGTAGCATAGTGGCGATTTCAATGTGGAAGTTCTTCCCCTTGTAGGTGTGAAGAACGATTGGTCACCTATAAAGAACCCTCGTGGTATTCTTCCAACGATGACACTGAGGTGTTGGTAGGGAAGACTTTTTCTTCTCAAAATACGTTTGGAAGGAATATGAGTTATGATGATGGACAGGTGTTATTGGCTGCAGCATCACCTCAATTCAGGAAGTTTAATCCGACACTATTGGACTAAGCCACAAATGTTTAGGGCTTAGCTTGAATAAAACACAATGTAGTCACTTATCCATCTTGTGGAATAAAGGATCATCAGCATCAGCCCATTAGTTGGCCTTGAATGCTTCAATGTGGTGTTGTGGAAAGTTTCAAAATTTTGAGTTACGTGATATACATTCTAAAAGAAAATAATGGTATAAAAGAAAATTAGTGGTATAAAAGAAAATTAGAATGTTTGCATCAGCCCATTTGTTATGATGCTTTTAGCAAATAATGGTATAAAAGAAAATTAGAATGTTTGCAACTAGCTTTGGTTGAAGAAGTGACCTGTTGAAAGTGGGAAACATACTACCTTTTTAGCACTTGGTTTTACATGAAAAAAGTTTCTGCTAATTGGTTAGATATTTAATGATTATCATTTTGAAAATTGTAAAATAAGATGAGGTAGGTAAAATTGTAGAATATTATAATTAATTATTATTTATCATTACTTGACAATTAGAGTTTTCTCAATGAGACTTGTGTTTAACTAACAACATCAGCTGTTGTGCTTGCTAATGTAATTCATTTGTTCTAACATCTTTAAAGAGTTGAAACAATCATATATTTATCATCATTATGGACTTATAGTAAACTTGTGAATTAATAATTCATGAGCAGGAAGTGGTTATGAATTTGATTATCTCCTCAATTTTCTTCTATTAGAGTTATTGGGCCATTAAAATTGAAAACCAATTAGCAATAATTAGATCATTGTTATCATTTTAATCTCATATATATTTCTATAATTACAAATATGAACCTATTTATACTATCTTTATTTTATAGGTTCTTATGAGCTTGTATAAATCCCCAATGTTCATGAAAAGGAAGCAAGAAATGGAAAGATAAGCCTTTTCCAAAGTCATCTGTCCAGCTTTTTTCATTCTTTACTATCATGTTTTGGAAATCACATATGTATCAACTTAGTCCTACAACCTGTTTTTCTCTTAAAATATGAGGCTCATGTGGAGCCCCATATGTGGCTACTTTCATTCTTAGCATTGTTTTAAGAGAATTTATATAGTATATATATTTAGTATTTTTACATAGGTTTGCATGACATACACTTGTCTGTAGCAGCTAACTACCCAAGGGCATTGTGTCAGGAAAAGGTGAATCTAAAAAGTGAGATATCCTATGTGAATTCTAATAAGTTGCATCATAAAAGCTGAGCCACCCAAAGCAAAGAAATAGTGAAAGATATTGTTGGAGAGGTAGCAATTGTAGATGCAATCTATAATTTGATTTAACACAATGATTCATTTGATTAGTGAGAAATAAATGCAGCCCATGACCAATGGGCATTGGTTGGATTTTCATACATTTTTGCTAGTTTGATCTCTAGATGCTTTTTAGTTGTCATTTTTTGCCCTATTTCCTTACACTAACCAACACATATCTTTTGAATTTATCTATAGCTATGTTGTGTCTTACAAAATGATTATCATTTCAAAGAGGTTGTAGATTTCATGAGAGCATGTTCTCCTTGCTAGCTTAATTATTATATATTCGTGTATATTTTCTAAGTTACTTGACGTGGTTTGATCAATGTATAATAAATCACATAAATTGATTTTTTAAAAAATATCGAGTATGAATATATCAATTATCATTCGATAAAAGGCTTCAAAAATAGTGAATTTTTTTACAATAGATCATAAGGATGTAAGATAATATTAGATAAAAATTTAAAATTATTATTGAAGCATACGATTTTTTATGATTTTTAGATTAAATGATAAAAATAAAATCTATTTAAAAAGTCACAAAAAAGGAAAATTCGGGTGTGGTTGTAAAGTTGACGTCAGCGCTCTGATGAACTCAATTTGGTTGAAAACAAAGTTCCACCCAATGATTCTTGTGTAAATGATTAAATTAAAATTTATAAAAGCCAAAAAGAATTATAATTGACTAAATAAGATTTTTGAAACTTAAAATCACACAAAATGACATTAAATTAAAAGCTAAACAAGTTCAAAACAAGTGACATAGAGCTTTGATGTTGCGGAAGTGATCATTGAAATTTTGAGCATTTAAGAAGATTATTGTATGATGTTCACAACCCCAAAGGCTTTTCTTCAATAAAGTTGACATGAGTAATCTCTAGATCCTCTTGCAAAGTCTAGAAATTGATGAAGTGAGTTAATGAATTATTTTTGACAGCTATTACCTAGCAAAGCAGAAGTTCAATGACTTTTAGATCTCTAACAACTATCAACCGGGAGATATGAGTTCGATGGAGGTGAAATACATCTTAAAGAGCTTCATCATCAAGTACATGCAACAAAAAGAAGTCTTTCCTCATATTTGATATGCTCTAAGGAGAGGATGGTTCATCTTCTAATAGATTGTCTTATTTTCAATGACGGCACATTTGTTAATCAATTGGAGATAATTTTCTTGAATAATCTGTAATTTTTATATTTAAAATCCTTAATCAATTGCTAATGATGATCCACAAATAGTGTTGATGAAATTTTCATTCTAGGGAGAATAATTTGAGCAATTTAATCTTCGACTAACATTATGTAACGGGTTTCTAATCTTTGCTGATTGCTTGCTTCTATGAGAGAGTTAGAAAATTACTTGTATGTTTTTAACTCAATGATGCCATGGAGGTATTTTCCTAACATTTTTAGTATAAAAATGTTAAAAACCTATCAATGAACACTAACATAAGTTTAGTCTCACATGGACTATTTTTCAAAATATGGGACACATATGTCTCTACCTCTTCTTGTTTTCAATATTTTTCTCTCATATATCTACTTTTGTACGACTACTCTTTGCCTCACAACTTGCTAGCCCCTGCTTTCTCTCAAAAAACTCAACATTGGTGATAAGGCCTATTGAGTTGGTTATCCCACAAGAAGGAGGTACATATCTGTCTCACAAATCGTAAGATGATGTTCGGTACCTCATGTACCGCAAGTAGGTACAATGGCATACTCATGAGAACATGACGTATCAATTGGATGCGACCCCCTAAGGATAGAAGCCAAAGTTTCCATGTAGCAAGTTTCTTCCTCAGCGTACACAAAAGGGCATCAAAATAATGAACCAAAGTGCATTCGAAGGAGATGGGGCATCCAAAGTAATCAATGGTAGATGTCCACATAAGAACCCTGTTAGATCATGTATGCGTCATATGATATTAATGGTGGTAGAAGATGCTACCATGAAGCTGCTCTTCGAGAAATTAATGAGTAGACTTACAACCTACTCGTAGCTCGAAATGATAGTTATGAGTCCCTTGATGGATGCTTTGCATCTATGAAGAAAAAGTATCACGTCATCAACAAACAAGAAATGTAATATGATCAGGTAGGCTCTCTTCAAATGATATGGTTAGATAAGTTCGCATGTCACTACTTGGGAGAGGGTTCGACTGAGGACTTCTTCAACAAATATGAAGAGAGTGAGTGATAAGGGATCACCTTGCCATAAACCTCACATGGCTATGAAGAAAAGGGTGGAAGTGTCATTCACCAATAGGGAGAAGTGATTCTCCTTAATGCATGCATCAACTCAGTCAATGAGCTTGTCGATGAATCCAAAGCATTGAAATACTTCAGTGAGGAAATTTCACTCGATCTTATCAAAAGCCTTTTCCATGTCTTGTTTAATGATGACGTTGGAACCCCGGATGCCCTTGTCAAGGGACTTTGCTAGTTCATGAACTAACATGATGTTATCATGAATGTGCCGTCCCTAAACAAATTCGCACTACTTTAGAGATATGAGCCTATAAAAAAAATATTAAGTCATGCTATAATGATCTTAGATACAATCTTGTAGCATACATTACAAAGATTGATGGGCCAAAAGTCTCTAAATGAAGTTGGATTAGCCACCTTCAACATGAGTTGAATAAAAGTGACTTTTTAACTTTATGGGAAGACTTTGTAGTAGAAGAATTCCTTGATGACGTGAACTAGATATATTTCAATGATGTCCAAACATGCTGTATAGAAATCAGCTAGGAAACCATAAGGTCCAGGTGCTTGGTTCCTACTCATCAAGAAGATTGGATTGTGAATCTCCTCTCTAGTATGTATAGTCGTAATGGCAAAGATCTCTTGGTGGGTTGACTAGGGATGGATTGATGAGAGTATATACTCTGATATCTCAATTGGTTGGAAGGAAAGAAGGGAACAAAAGTATGCAATTCTTGCCTCTTGCATATTAGATGTGTTTTGATCGTACACTAATGTGACTTAGTCGTTGTATAATAAATAATGTAAATTTAAAATTTATAAAACTAGAAAATATTAATTTTTTGATTTTTAGAAATACTTCAGAACAAATAAATCAATTATAATTCAATAAAAAGTTCCAAAAATAGTGGAGAATTTCCAAGTTGATCATAGGGATGTAGATCTTCTTGTGAAGTTTAGAAATCAATGAAGTGAGTTATCAAATCATCTTTGGGGGTTGTCACCTAGTAGATAAAAAAAAGTACAAAATTTACAGCTCTTTGGTGGCTGTCACTTGATGAAGATGAGCTAGATGGTGGTCGGGTGCATCTTAAGGAGCTTCATCCTCAGGTCCGCGCAGCAAAAGGAGACTCTTCATTACATCTGGTACACTCTCAGGAGGTAGTGACTCATCTCCCAGCAAATCATTGACATGACTTAGTCGTTGAATAATAAATCACACAAATTTAAAATTCATAAAACTAGAAAATACTAATTTTTAGATATTTAGAAGTATTTCTAAAGAAATATATCAATTATAACTCAATAAAAGTTCTAAAAATAGTAAGAATTTTCCAGATCACATGGATGTAATATAATATCAGGTAATATTTCAGAATTTTCCTCCAAGAATATGATTTTTTATGAATTTTACATTAAGAAAATGGAAATACAATATATTTTAAATTCACAAAAAGAGAAATAAGGATGTAGACATCAAGATGACATCTGCATTTGACGAATGCAAATCGAGCAGAAATAGAGTTCCGCTTAGCAATTCTTACGTAAGTGATTATAAATGATTTGTAAAAGTTGGAAAAATTGTAATTAAATGAAAAATAATTTGATAGATTTAAATCAGAAAAATTATCACTAAATGAAGTGAAAATTAAGTTGAAAGTAGAAAAATAGAATTTTGGCGTCATAGTGACGATGTATTGGTGATGCACTAGAATCTTGAGCATTCGGAAGGATCGTTGTGTAGTGTCTATGGTCTCGAAAGCTCTTTTTAGACAAGGACGATGTGAGCAATCTTTAGATCTTTTTGCAAAGTCTAGAGATTAATGAAATAGGTTTTCGAATCGTCTCTGGTAGCTATCACCCAGTGGAGCAAAAAAATGGTAACTTTGTAACTCTTTGGCAGCTGTCACCTGACGGAGAGGAGCTGAATGGAGGTGTGATGGCGAACAAGACCCGTCTCCATCAGCTCAGGAGACATCGACAGTCCGAGTTCAACCCGATCGACGAGCGAAGACGAAGGAGCCTAGCTTTCGCTACACGGCCTAGCCCTTTGGGATGACGACATTCTACCTCTGCGACAACGACGAGCTCGAACTCACCTGTATCTTTCTTTGTAGTTTCACATTGACTTGTTGGGCCTCGCATTTGTGTTTTAGCGGGCCCAATTCTATGTGTGTGTTGTTGTTTGTGTCTCCCTTTCTTTAGGGTTTTATTGGGTTTCTCTTTTGAAGCCCAATTAAAACCCTAAGGGGGGGGGACTTATGTGTCTTTCCTTTGGGGCCTCTTTTGGGGCTTATTTGGGTCTTCATTTGAGGCCCACTTAAGCACCGTAAAAGGGCCCTCCTCTTTCTCCTTTTAGGGGAGCTTATTGGGTCTCTCTTTAAGAGGCCCAATAAGCCCATTTGTAGCCTTTTGTGGCTTATGGGCTTGAGGGCCTCAATTGGGCCCACCTCCCCCTAGCCCACTTGTGGGCCCCATATAAGGGGAGGTAGGACCCCCCCAAGAGAGCGCCGTATTTTTGAAAGAGATTATCGTTTTGTGAGTACCTTCTCCGTGATCTAGGATAGGGAGGGAAGGAGGAAGAGGAAGGCCGTCGATACCCCCTTCGAGGACTTCGTTCCTCGTGACGCTGCTGCCCGAGAAGTCCCGCCGCCGCCTGAGACCACTGCCGCCGCCGGCCATCTCAGTGCCGCCCGCGAGTTCGCCGCCGTCACCGGACGAAACGGTCGCGGTTGCCGCTGCAACCGCCGCCGCCTCTGCTGGAACCCCGTCACGCCATCGTGACGAAAGGGGCTCGCTTCGCCTCCCTACGAGCCGTCGCCGAGCACTCCGCCGGAGTCTCTCGACTCCTGGTTCGTCTGCCACCTCTTCCTCCGGAACTCCACCATAAACTCGCCGGAGCCGCCCTCCGCCGCTCCGCCCAGTCGCTGGCCGTTCGCCGACGAGCGCCTACCTGCCGCCGATGTCGGGAGAGACCCTGCAGCCGTGCCGACGAGCCAGAACCAGTCCCAGCTCCTCACAGGCCCCCGCCGGAGTTTCCCGACGCTCCGCCGCCGTCGCGCCGTTTCCGGCGCCGCTTAGACCAGGAGAGCTCAACCCTCCTTGGTATCGTCGGCAGGATCGTCTCCTCTCTGCTCCGCTTACCGGCGCCGCCAGAGAGGCCGATCCTTCCGGCGACGGTTGGGTTTCCGCCCCAACCGCCGACGCTCGGCCCTCCCGCCGAAGCGCCGCCGACGCCCGGCCTTTCCGCCGACGCGCTGCCGCCGCGCGCGCCCCGCGCGCCGGCTCCTGCGTGCCCTAAGGCCGCCGCGCAGCTTGCCTCCCGCGCCCGCTAGCGTGCCGTTCGGCCCACCAGCGGACCCACGCTCGCTAGCGTGCCCTTTGGCCCACCTGCAGGCCCACACCCACGCCGATTGTGCCACGCCCTAAGACAACGACTTCCGTGACTCTCGACCAGGACCAACCGTTGACGCTGAGCATCGCTCTTCACCGGACGTCTCTGCCTTCGTCGAATCTCCGCTCCGTCACGACCCGCCGGGCTACGCAGCTCCGAAGGTTAGCTCCGTACCCCTTCCTCTTAAGTTTAATTATCTCTTGAAGGGTTTTCTTGGCTCGTCTCCTCCGCCATCAGGAGAACGTAGACAAGATAGGACGGTTATCGGATCGTGACTTCCGACGCTGCGCCAGATTCGCCACTGTTCGTGAGCTGCAGCCCTAGGCTACCTCACGACGACCGTTCCGCCGTCTATTCAGACGTGGACCGAGAGAGCCTCATACTTACCATTGTTGAGTGTTTCCCCGGGTTGTTCTGGATTGATCATGCATATTGGTACGCCTGCCTGTACTTAGGTTATGTGGTTAAACCTAGAGTCTAGGGTCCATACATTTTGATCGGATCGGTCCGACTGTTTCATCATGGGTCTCGAGTTTCATTGATCAGGTACAGGGGGTTCTCGTCTCGTCCTGCATCAAGGTGGGGCACGTGTCAGGGAGCTTCATCCTCAAGTCTGCGCAACAAGAGGAGGCTTTTCATCACATCCGGTATACTCTTAGGAGGTAGCAATTTGTCTCTTGGTAGATTGTCCTCTTGCCGATGACGGCTTATTTGTCGATCAATTGAAGATGATTTACTCAATAGATTTGTGATTCTTTTATTGTAAAGCTTTCAGTAATTTTAGTAATAATGTTTTGCGAATCACGTTAACGAACTTTTCGCCGATGATCTAGTGATTCTGACGGCTTAATCCTTCACTAGTGATCTACAGAAAAGTCACAATTTAATCAGATAAAAAGATAAGTTTTGACTCTAGTAAGATTTGAACCCATGTCGGTCGTCCACTTGCATAAGAGAGAGTTAATAAGTACTCAAATAGTCTCTTGCTGCGTGGAAATGAGGATGAAGCTCCCTAACACGCACCTCACCTCCATTCAACTCTTCTATGTCAGGTGACAGCCATTGAAGAATTGCAAAATCATAATTTTTCCACTCCACTAAGTGACAGCCACCGGAGACAATTCGACGACCCATTTCATTGATTTCTACGTCATCCTTGTCCAAGGAGAGCTTTTGAGCCCATGGACACTACACGAGAATCTTCTTGAATGCTCAAGATTCTAGTGCATTGTTAAAGAATTGCCACTATGATGTCAAAACTCTGTTTTCCTACTTTCAACTTATATTTTGCTTCATTTAGTAATAATTTGTGCGATTTAAATTTATCAAATTATTTTTGATTCAATTACGATTCTTTCAATTTTTACAGATCTTAATTTGATGAATTAAATCATTTGTAATCACTTACATAAGAATCACTAGGTGAAACTCTGTTTCTGCTTGATTCACATTCATCGTGCACATATGTTATCTTGACATCCGCACCCTTATTTTCCTTTTTTCGTGAATTTTAAATATATTTCATTTTTATTTCTTAATCTAAAATTTATAAAAAATTATATTCTTTGAGGAAAATTCTAAAAACTTACTTGATATTATATTACCTTGTGGTTGACGTGGAAAATTCTCATTATTTTTAGAACTTTTATTGAATTATAATTAATTTATTTGTTGAGAAATACTTCTAAATATCTGAAAATTAGCATTTTCTAATTTTATAAATTTTAAATTAATGTGATTTATTATACAACGACTAAGTCAGATTACCCCCTAACTTAAAAATGACATTGTCCTCAATGACACAAAATAATTAGTACAAACTATGTAGAAAATAGAATTTTGAAGTGAATCATGCATATATCTAAAATTAAGCACTAAAAATATTGTTATAAAGGATAAAATTCAGAAAAACATTACCTCAAGCTCATTTTAATTTTCCACTTCATCTTACACTTTGTTTTTGAAAAAAAGAAACAAATACAAAAAAAAATACTATAAAATTCTAAGAAAAACAGAACTTAAAAAAGGTAAAATGAAATAAAAACTATGGGTTGCCTCCCATGCAATAGTAAATTTAATATCTCGAGGTGAACATATTAATCTTACTCTTTAATTTATTTTAATAATAATATATATTTTTTGCAAGACATTCATGTTCCATGTAATGTTTAAGCCGCTGTCCACTTACTTTAAAGTTTTGATCACTTTTAGGATCTTTAATAATTACAGCCCCATGATCATATGTATCTTCCATCACAAAAGTCGGTGTCCATTTTTATTTTTATTTTCTTGGGAATAGTTTCAACCTAGAATCATATCACCACAGTTTTTGTTCAACATCAAAAAAATTTCTGCTAATGTATTTATCATGAAAGATTTTAGTTTTTTCTTTATATATTCTATGATTTTCATAAGCTTTATTCCTCAACTCTTGTAATTCATGTAGCTGAAAAATTCTTTGCTCATCACTTGATTTTTCATGCATACATAAATTTTTTATAGCCCATAATACTTTATGCTCTATTTTCACAAGAAGATGACATAGTTTTTCAAAAATGAGACGAAATGGGGACATAACTATGGGATTTTTATAAGCTATTATATAAGCTATTCTATAAGCCCATAATGCATCTTGTAATTTCGTGGGTCAATCTTTCCTATCAAGTCTAACTATTTTTCTCAAAAATCTCTGAATTTCTTGATTTCTTACTTCAGCTTGCCCATTTGTTTTGGGATGATATGGAGTGGTTACTCTATGGTGCACTACATTCTTTTTTAATAGTTCTAAAAAATGTTTCTTTATAAAATGTGTTCCTTCATCACTAATAATCACTCTAGGACATCCAAATCTTGAAAAACTATTTTCCGACAAAAATTTCATCATGATTTTATGATCATTAATTCTAGTAGGAATAGCTTCCACCCACTTAGATACATAATCAACAGCAAGAAAACTATATTCATATTTTTCAGATGATGGGAAAGGACCCATGAAGTTTATATCCCATAACTCAAAAATTTCAACTACTAACATGTTACTCATGGGCATTTCATCTCTTTTATTCATGTTACCTATAGATTGACCTGACATTCATGTTCTACTAAATTTTATATGATCTCTAATGATTGTAGGCCGATAAAATCCACATTGAAAATTTTTTGCAGCTATTTTTTGTCTAGAAAAATATTCTTCATAGTTAGATGAATGACACATGTTAAGAATGTTATGATATTCTTCTTCAGGAATAGATCTCCTTAAAATTTGATCATTGCCTAAATAATATAAATTATAATCATGTCAAAAATAATTTCTAATTTTAGAAAAGAAATATTTTATTCTATTCTTATCTCACTGTTCTAGATTCTTTTCAAAAACTAGAAAATTGACAATATGTGCATACCATGGTGATGGTTGATGTTGAGGTGCCATCAATTGTTCATCTAAAAAATCTATATTGTAAAGGTTCTGCATTTATTTTTGTATCACTTAATTTAGAAAAATGGTGAATAACAACATTCTCGAAACCTTTTTTATCTTTTATTTCTATGTCACTTTTTTGCAACAATAAAATTCATGTTAATAAACGTGACTTTGCATCTTTCTTATTTAATAAATATTTTAATATCGCATGATCAATATAAATGATAATTT